ATTCAGTAAATAAACAAAAAGCCTAATGATGACCATTAAACCATTGTCAATTGTTGTAAAAATCATTAAGGTCCTTCATTAATGTCCTTTAGAGAAGGAAAACTGTTGTCCTTACCTGTTCATGTGACTCCAGATCCCTAGCAATGTGGCTGATTCTTAACTGCCGTTTGAAATGGCCTAGAAAGATGCTGTGGTAAAAAATTTCAATGATGACAGCAAACATGGCCCTGGCAACATTGTAAAGTCCTTCTTATATCTGAGGATAGTGCCAAAATTTGGTGATCTGTCATGCAGACTACTTAAGCAAAAAGCCTGACGCAATCATACCCACACTGTCCCATACAACACCATCACCACAATTAGATATGTCTTGTCTCACCAGCAGCTTTCAAACAGATCTAGCAACTGCGGACTAGATATCTATGAGAGGATGTGGGCCACCAGGAGCAGCAGAATTAGATTCAACCAGAATCAACCTTGGTTCAATGATGCCTGCAGTAAAGCATGCCCAGAGCAATACCAGGCATACCTAAAATGAGGTGCCAACCCTGGTAAAGCTACTAAACAGGACCTTGCAGGCCAAACATCATAAGCAGCAACAAGTGAAGGGCTAAGCAATTCTGCAACAAGCAGATCAAATCTGTGTTCTGCAGTTCTGCTACATCGAATCATGAATGTTGCTGGATAATAAAAAAAAAACTCATTGGAGGAGGAGACTGCACAAATAGCCCCATCCTCTGTGAAGGAGGAGCCAACTACATCAGCCAAAAAGATGAGTCTGAAGCAATTAGTACAGTCATCAGCCAGCAGTGCTGAGTGTATAATCCATCTTGGACTCCCTCAGATGTCACCAGCATCAGAGATGCAAGTCTTGAGCCTAATTGATTCAGTCCATGGTTAGCACTGCTGCCTCACAGCGCCCGGACCCGGGTTCAATACCACCCTCAGGTGACTGTCTACGTGAAGTTTGCATGTTCTCTCTGTATCTGTGTGGGTTTCCTCCCACAGTCCAAAGATGTGCAGGTTAGGTGCATTGGCCATGCTAAATTGCCCATAGTGTCCAGGGATGTGCAGGCAAGATGTGTTAGCCATGGAAAATGCAGGATTACAGGAATGGGGTGGGGGCGGTGGGTTGGACAGGATGTTCTTCGGACGGGCAGTGTGGACTTGATGAGTCAAATGGCCTGCTTCCACACTGCAGGGATTCTATGAACAACAAAAGGCACTGGATAGGCTATGGGCCCTGACAACGTTCCAGTAACAGTACTGAAGACTTGTGCTCTAGAACTTGCTGCACCCCAAGCCAAGCTGTTTCAGTATAGCTACAACATTGCCATCTCCCTGACAATGTGGGAAATTGCTTAGGTATGTCCTCTACAAAGCAGGAAAGATTCAACCTGGGCATTTAGTGCTGTCTACTCTTGATCATCAGTGAAGTCATGGAAAAAAAATCATCAACAGGGCTTTCAAGCAACATTTGCTCAATAATAACCTGCTGGCTATTGCTCAGTTTGAGTTACGCCAGGGCCATTCAGCCCTCTGCCCTCATTACAGTTGTAATTTAGACATGGACAAAACAACAGAATTCTGAGTATGACGTCAAGGAGCCCAAGCAAAATGAGTCAGTGGCATCAAAGAAGATTGTTGTGGATTTTCGAGGTCAGTCATCTCAGCTCCAGAACATCTTTGCAGGAATTCCTCAGGGTAGTGTCTAAATCCAGTCATCTTTTACAGTTTCATCATTAGCTGTCACTCCATCATGAGTTCAGAATTGGGGATTTTTGCGGCTGATTGCACAACCCATTGCATCATTCACAACTCCTCAGACACTGAAACTGTCCATGTCCAAATGCAGCATGGCCTGGACAAGGCAGTATACAGGTTTGGATTGATAAATGGCAAGTATCATTCACACCACAAATGCCAAGCAATGACCATCTCAATCCAGTGGGAAATTAATCATCGACCTGAAACTGAACTGGGCCATCTATATAAATGCTATGGCCACAAAAGCAGGTCAGAGTCTAGGTATCCTGCAGTGACTAACTCACTGCCTGACTGCCATAGCTTATCCGCTACAAGGCAAAAGTCAGAAGTGTGATACAATACTCTCCACTCTCCACAGCACTTGGAAGTTGACACCGTCCAGAAACATTCACTCCCTTCACCAATGCTCAATAGCAGCAGTGTGAAACATCTGCAAAGTACACTGCAGAAATTCCTCAGACAGCACCTTCCAAACCCATGACCACTTCTCTCTAGAAGAACAGGGCAGCAGATAAATGAGAACACCACCAAGTTGCCCTTTAAGGCACTCGCTATCCTGATATGAAAATACATTGCTGTTCCTTCAGTTTCACTGAGGCAAGATCCTGGAATTCCCTCCAGGACAGTATTGTAGGGATACCAGTACTGAATAGACTGTAACAATTCAAGAAGGCATTTCACCACCACTTTTTCCAGGGCAGTTAGGGATTGGCAATAAAGGCATGTCCATGCAGCAACACCCACATTCCATAAATGAATAAATGTCCATATGTGTCACAACAACAGCCTTGCCGTCTTGAACCTGTTCAAAACAAAGTCTATCAAGCTTGTTAGACACAATTTCCCTTAACAAACTGATACTGACACTTATGAATTTATCCATGTTTTTCCAGGTGGCTATTAATTCTATTCCAAATAATTGTTTCTTGAAGTTTCCCTATTAACAAGGTTAAACCCATTAGTCTGTAATTGCTGTAATTTACAGGTATTTTTTGAGAAGGAACATAGTGTTTCTAATTTGAGTGATAGAGTTGTACAGCACGGAAACAGACGCTTCGGTCCAATTCATCCTAAATTATGCTAGTCGCATTTGCGAGCATTTGGCCCATATCCCTCTAAACCCTTGCTATTCATGTACCCATCCAGATGTCTTTTAAATGTTGTAATTGCACCAGCCTCCATCACTTCATCTGGCAGCTCATTCCATACCTGGACTACAATCTGCGTGAAAACATTGCCCTTTAGGTCCCTTTTAAATCTTTCCCCTCTCACCTTAAAACTATGCCTTCTAGTTTTGGACTTCCCTATCCTGGGAAAAAGTCCTTGGCTATTTATCCTATCTAAGCCCATCATGATTTTATAAACCTCTCTCAGGTCATCACTCAGCCTTGGATGCTCCAGGGAAAATAGCCCCAAGCCTATTCTGCCTCTCCCTATAGATTAAACCATCCGACTCTAGCAACATCCTTGTAAATCTTTTCTGAATCCTTTCAAGTTTCACAACATCTTTCCTATACAAGGGAGACCCCAAAATTCAGGAAGAATTAGATTTTTTTGCCGGTGTCTCTATAATTTCCATTGTCCCTTCCTTTAATAGCCATTGAAATATCCATTCAGTCTTGGTGCCTTATTATCTTTAAACACAGATAGTTTGTCCAATCCTTCCTCAGTCAATTTTAAACCTTTCTAGTGACTGAGTTTCTATTTCTGTCACCATGGTCTGGATAACATCTGTATTGTAGGCAAAGACAAATGCAAAGTTCTAATTTAACAACTTAGCCATGCCTCTTGCCTTTATGTAAATCCCATTTTGTCCTTAATCGGCCCGGCTCCTCCTAGTACCGATATGCCTACAGAAGACGTTGGGATTTCCCTTTGTTATTTTCCAGTCTTTTCTCATAATCCTCTTTGCTTCTTTTTTTTTTTGTTTTCTTCATCTCTCCTCTAAACCTTCAGTATTCAGTTTAACCTATGTCTCCATTGTCATTCAAGAAACTCTGGTTTTGTTTGTCATGAGTTTCCCTCTTGAAGGAACCATACCTTGACTGAACCATCTCTCTTTGAAGTTGGCCAATTATTCAGCTACTGTTTTTCCTGGCAGCCTTTGGCTCCAGTCTGTCCCACCCACTAGTGTGTAATAGTTATCTGCTGCTTCGTATTACATAAAATTCATTAGCTACTTCACTGATTCACATAATCATCAATTTATGCTTGATTTAGTTCCAGGAAATTAACTGGCACAAGTAGGTGCTAAAGGTCAAGGGTGAATCTTGGAAATCATAACTTGCAATCTTAAAGTAATTAAGTTTAATGAAAGATGAACTGAACGGAAGGGAAGTGCAGAGAGACCGTTTTGATGAGATGGCAAGATAACATCTTTTGTTATAGAAATTGCTGTGATGTACATTTCCTTGGATCTTAACTTTTTGTTTTCTCTATATTGACATTCCAATCGTTGTGTGTATGTTCATTCCTGTGTCAAAAAAAATCATTGTCCATTCTAAAAGATGCATTCTATTGTTGTACCGTGTAAATCATGGAATAATAGGCAGAATGGCCGTTTTCATCCTGTAGCATCTGTAATTGATGTACGTTAGTTGAGTGAGCATCTGTTTTATCGCGTTAAATCATTCATTTCAAATGTTAATGGTACAAAGGTAATGCTATCTTTTATTCACTTGTGAAAATCCAAAATCATATTCAATTTAAATATTACAAGAACATGCTAAGATAATTAGCAGAAAAAAAAGTGTTTTGTACTGGGTGACAGCTGACTTGGATGATTGTGTATGACAATTATACATAACAGATCTCATACATTCTCAATATTTTTGATAAGTGGAAAAATGTCAAATTAATTCTTACTGTACATTGGTCACATCATCAAAAGATCTAGTGAATTAAAATGCTGTTGTAGAAACCAATGTTGCTGTAAAGGATAACTCTGGAGTCTTTGTTGTGCCTTCTTTTTCAAATGGTGGTAACAAGATCATTCGAAGCAAAAGACTCAGTAATTATTAATGGTGTCTTGGTTTTGGTACTTGATGGAAGATTCTGGACCTGTCCAACTGCTTTAAGATGATATACCACAAAATGTAGTGGACAAGGATTCCCATTATCCCTGAAATACTTTGTGTGCTAAAATTGTAATACATACGTATAGTACATACATATATTTGTTAATAAATTTGCATTATATTTTGCATTGTTAATTCTAGAGTGTTTCATTACAGGATTTGAGCTTTATTCGATGGTGCCTTCCATCTGTCCCCTTGAAACCCTTCATAATTCTCTTTCTCTGAAACAAGTGGATGAATTTCTTGCATCAATTCCTGAAAGCAATGCCCCTTCTGAGACTTTTACTGTATCCTCAGGTGAGTTTCTTATTTAAATTCTTTGGTGTGTTAATTTTCAATATTTAAATGTAAAGACAAAGTCACAGAAACCAGACGAATCCCACCTACCCAGCAGTTCACTTCTTTAGTTCATTCCTTTTCTGGAAATTTCCTCATGTGGAAGTTTGTTAATGTGATTGGGCAGGGTTTAAAGTGGCAGGAGCACATTAAAGTAGAGAAGAGGACTAAGTTGCAAAGTTAGAACACAGGCAGTACTAGAGAGGGAATTTTCCATATTAGACAGAATTAGTCCAAAAGGAAAGTGGTAAGTAAAACGAAAAATAATTGTTGTAGAAGGTCTGACAGTGTGTGTAGTGAGTGAAACACACAGTTAACATTTTGAGTCCACTATGAATTCAGAATTAAAGACAGAAATAAAGAAAGTGATGGGTTTTATATTGTAGAAAAATGTAGAAACGAGTGGAACAGAAGGGAAGGTCAGGAAAATTTCAATGGAGGGACGATAGAGATCATGGTTTCACAAAACAAAAGGCAAAAGGAGTAGTGATGGATATGGATTAGAGACAGAAGTTCAGAATAGACGTAACTAGTAGGATACTAAAAGGCACAGTGCAGTGGTGGGGGTCGGGAAACAAAATGGAGGGCAGAGTTCAGGATCTGAAATTGTCGAATGTGTTGAACTCAGTGCTGAATGCAGAAGGTTGTAAAGTGCCTAAGCAGAAAATAAGGTGCTGATCCTCCAATAAAACCTAGAATTACAGATCTGAAACAAAAACAGAAATTGCTGTAGAAACTCAGCAGGTCTAGCAGTATCTGTGGAGAGAAAACTGAGTTCAAGCTTCAAATCTAGTGACTGTATTTCATAACTTACAGTAGCTAGGAAAAGGTAGTATTGATGTTGGTGACAGGGGCTGGGGGTGAAAAGGCGTGAGTAGATAGATGGAGATGGAGCCCAGAAAGAGTACTGCTGTGATGTTTTCCCTAATCAACAATACTACTTCCCCTCCTTTCTTGCCTCCCCTTCTATCCTTCCTATAGCATATGTACCCTAGAACATTGAGCTGCTGGTCCTGTTCTTCCCTCAGCAAATCTTTAAAAGTACTTGGATGAGTGCTTGAAATGTCAAAACATTCAAGGCTATGGGCCAAGAGCTGGAAAGTGGGACTCATTGATTTAGAGTAGGTTTTTTTTGTATGATTCTATGGTATTCTGCTGAGTAAGTCTTGGTGGAAGTGAAGGTAATTCACTACACATGGAGTGTTTAAAATTGATTAGGTTATGGTGTTCCATTAGCTATTTGAACTTAGAGTCGACAAGGCAGCAGCAATGCAAGATAAGCATTCAAGAATGTTGAAGGAAATGACAAGGAAATTGCGGAGGACTAGCCATAACTTTCCAATTTCCATTAGACTCTACTGATGCCAGAGGACTGGAGGATTCCAAATGTTACACCCTTGTTCAGAGAAGGGTGTAAAGATAAGTTCGTCAACTTCAGGCCTGTCACTTTAATCTTTGTGGAAATTTTTCCAGAAGCGATAACTTTAAACAAAATTAGTAGTCTGTTGGGAATAGATTTTGGATCAAATCATATTGACTTGCTGGATTTTTTTTATTGTGACAGAGCAGATGATTATGCTGTTAACATGGTTCATATTTACTTCTGGAAGACTTTTTATATAATTCCAGAAAAAGAGACAAAAACGGAAATTGCTGGAAAAACTTAAGTGGTCTGGCAGCAAGTGTGGAGAGAAAGCAGAGTTAATGTTTTAGGCCTGAATAAGAGAAATTTGCTTTCTCTCCACTGATACTGCCAAATCTGAGATTTTCCAGCAATTTCTCTGTTTGTTTCTGATTTCCAACATCCACAGTTTTTTTTTTGTTCAGAGAAAGAGACTTGTGGGCCAAGTTATAGCTGGTGGAATAAAGGGGACTGTAGTTTTTTTCCTTCAGAAGAAGGTTGAGAGGAAAGTTGAAAGACATATTTAAAATCAGGAGAGGTCTGGACAAAGTAGACACAATAAAATCTTTCCCAACTGTGGAATGGTCAAGAGCAAGATTTAAATAATTGGTAAAAGAAGTATTGGGGTCATGAGGAAAAACATTTTCATGTAGTGGGTACTTAAGATCTGGAACGTACTGCTGGATTGCATAGTTGAAGCAAGTTCAATCAAGGTATTCGAGAGAATGTTGGGTTGTTCTCTTAAAAGGAAAGAATATGAAGGAATATGGGGAAGCACACATCCAACTTGGCCAATTCCTGCTTCATTAGTCCAACGTCAATCATTAGCAAATGGATAGAACATGTCCTCACTATAAAGCAGCACTTAATCAGTAGTGCTTGGTTTGATTTCTGCCAGGCCCACTTACCTCCAGGTCTCATTCAAATCTTGCTCCAAACATAGATAACAGATTTGAATTCCAGAGGTGAAGTGAGATTTACTGCTTTTGACATTAAGCCAAATGTGGAATCAAGGAGGGCGAGCAAACTGAAGGTCCTAACTACTGGGGAAATCCCTCTGTTGGTCAGTCATATCTTGTAAAAAAGCAGTATGGTTGTAGTTGTGAAGCTCAGTCATTTCTATTCTTGGGCACTGATGCAGGAATGTACAAGTCATGTAGTTTGCTGTGTCCAATCATATTTAGCTGCTTCCCTCCATCATAAGATCAGATTTGGGGACGATCATGAGTACAGAGTGTTCAGTAGCATTTACAACTTCTCATATACTGAATCTGTCCATATCTATGTGCAGCTAGAGAACCCTTCAGCTTGGACTGATATGTGGCAAGAAATATTCATTAGAAACAAGCACCAGGCAGTGACCATCTCCAATAAGAGGGAACCTAACCATCTGCTTTTGATTTCAGTGACATAATCATTGCACAATTTCCCACTATCAACATCCCAGGCAGTCACCATTGGTCAGAATCTTAACTGGAATAGCTGCATAAATACTATGGCTGCAAAAGCAGGTCAGATGGTGGGAATTCTGCAGCAAGTAACTAATCTCCTAATATGTCTAACACTCCAAAGGCCAGCAGTATGTTGAAATACTCTGCCTGTCTGCACAAGTGCAGCTTCAACAATACTGAACAACAATACTCAACACCATTATGGCAAAGCAACCTGCTTAACTTGCATCTCTTTCCACCACTTTAAGCATGTACTCCCTCCACTACTTGCTTAAAGCGATAGCAGTGTATACCGTCTATATCATGAACTTCAATAATTTGTCAAACTACTTCGGCACCTTCAAACCCATGAACTGTACAACCGAGAAGGACCAGAGCAGCTGCCAAGTTCCCATCCAAGTGATACGCTGTCTTAATTTGGAACAATACTGTAATACCTTCCAATTCACCTGGAAAAGTCTTTGAAGTGACACTAGATGTACCTATCAACTGAGCCATTGTGGTCTGTAGACAGCTTCTCATGAGAAATACAAGAAGGGAAACAAGTGCCAGGCCTGCCAATGACACACTTATAGCAATGAAACAAATTTTAAAGATGGATGTATTTAAAATGTTGGTGAAATGTTGTGCTAATCCATTCTAGAAGCTTTGAGAACAAGGAGTCCATGTGCGAAACTGTTTGTAATATTATCTGGTTTCCATTCTAGCTTCTGGTAGTCTTTTTTCTCTGGGTAGAAGAATTTTAAATACATATACACCCAGAAGGATACTTCCAACACCTCAGTCATCAGATCACGACAGTAACAGATCTGTTTTCTGTAAGTAAACTATAATCTTGCCAGTACAATCATTGCTTTGTCAGAGCTTAAATATGATGATGTGAACTTTATATTTCTTTTAACATTGTAATTTTTTGTGGTTATTTCTCTGGTGAATGAACCAAATTGGTCTTGTTCTTACTTGAATTATGTTACCATCGACCATAAGATGATAAGGTATTGGAGCAGAATTAGGCCATTCGGCCTATTGATTTTGCTCTGCCATTCAATTATGGCTGATATTATTCTCAACCCCATTCTCCTGCCTTCTGCTCGTAACCCTTGATCCTCTTACAAATCAAGAACCAATCTACCTCTGCCTTAAATACATTCACTGACATGGCCTCCACAGATTCTGTGTGAATGAGTTCCATAGATTCACCACTTCTTGACTAAAGAAATTCCTCCTCATTTCAGTTCTCAAGGGTTGTGCCTTCAGTCTGAGGCTGTTCCCCTAGGTCCTAGTCTCTCCTACGAATAGAAACATCTTCATGACCACACTCTCCAGCCATCTCAGTATTCTGTAAGTTTCAATGAGATTCACCACAACCCCTGCCCCATCCTTCTAAACTCTGAGTACAGACCGGAGTCCTCAACTGCTCCTGATACAAAGACACAGAGGTGCAGGTGCATAGTTCCTTGAAAGTGGAGTTGCAAGTAAACAGGGTGGTGAAGAAGGCATATGGCATGCTTGCCTCAGTGCACTGATTATAAGAGTTGGCACGTCGTGTTGCGGCTGTACAGGACATTAGTGAGGCCACTTTTAAAATACTTTGCTGAATTCTGGTCTCTGCTGTAGAGAAGATGTTGTTAAACTTGAAAAGGTTCAGAAAAGATTTAGGTGGTGGCAACAGTGATCTGGACATCTTCTTTTCCTTTTGTTTCTGTTAAATTAATTTATGCTCTTGTTTTTAATTCTAACAATTGCATTCTAAGGTGCCAGAGAGTGCAATTCTGTGCAATTCTGTACACTTCTCACTGAACTCCTGTACTCTGGTACACATGACAATAGAATCTAATCCAATCAAGTGGGCTCTACCACAAGCTGCTCCAAAAAATGTCTCGTGGACATTGTACAAATTTCTTTTCTTGAGATCCACTCTCAAACTGATTTTCCTAGTCCACTTATATATTGAAGTCCTCCATGATTATTGCAATCATGCCTTTTTTACAAGCCTTTTGTATCTCATGCTTTAATTTTCTACCCATTTCCTGACTGCTGTTAGGAGGTCTGTACATAATTCCTATCAGGGTCTTTTTCCCTTTGTGGTTTCTCTACTCTGCTACACAGATTCTATACCTTCTGATCTTTATCACTACTTGCGATTGATTTAAATTAATTTCTTATAAGCATGGCAACCCTGACACCCCCCTCCTTCAATAGGACATGTATCATTGGATATTTAATTCCCCGCCCTGATCTCCTTGTAACCACATCTGTGATGTCCACCACATCATACCCACCAATTTCAATCTCTTCTACAAGCTCATTTACCTTGTCTCCTATACTGCGTGCATTTAAGTACAACATCCTCAGTCTTACATTGACTGCCCTTCTTTTCATAGTTGTCCCCTTATCTGCTGTGCCTGAATTTAGATTCCTGACCCGTTCCACATTGTGTTGTATCATAGAGTCACAGAGTTAAACAGCATGGAAACTGACCCTTTGGTCCAACTTGTTCATGCCAAACTAAACCAGTCCCATTTGTCTGTGTTTGGCCCATATCCCTCTAAACCTTTCTTATTCATGTACCCGTCCAACTGTCTTTTAAGTGTTGTAACTGTACCTGCATCTACCACTTCCTCAGGCAATTCATTCCACATACGAACCACTGTGTGGAAAACGTTGACCCTCACCTCTTACTTAAATCTTTCTCCGCTCACCTTAAAAATATGCCATCTAGTTTTGAACTCACCCACCCAAGGGAAAAGACCCTTGCTATTCACCTTATCTGCGCTCATGATTTTGTAAACTCTATAAGGTCATCCCTCAACCTCCTACACTCTTGTGGAAACAGTTCTAACCAGCCTTGCCTTATAATTCAAACCTTCCAATACCAGCAACATTATTGTAAGTCTTTTCTGAATCCTTTCCAATTTAATAATATCCTTCCTACAACAGGATGACCAGAACTGTGTACACTACTCCAAAAATGACCTCACCAATGTCCTGTACAACCACAACTTGTTGTCCCAACTCCTACACTAAGTTGTCTGAGCAATGAAGGCAAGCATGCTGATATCCTTCTTAGCCATCCTGTTTATCTGTGTTGCAACTTTCAAATACCTGTTTATTTCTACTGTTTATTCTTAGCTGCCAATTAATTCTCTGTCCATGTCTGTGCACGACCTCCAATCCCATATGCATTAATTTTACATGCCAATGTCTTATATGAAACCTTATCACAAGCCTTCTGTAATTCTGAGTAAACCACAACCACTGGTTTCCCATTATCAACTCTACTAGCTACATCCTCTCAAAATTCCAGTAGATTTTTTAAGCATGACTTCCTTTTCGTAAATCTATGCTCAATCTGTCCAATCTGTCAATTTTTTCCAAGTGCTCTGATATTAAATCTTCTACAATGAACTGTAGCATTTCCCCATACTGACGTCAGGCTGACTGGTCTATAAAATCTCTTTACCTCTCTTTTTAAATTGAGGGGTTACACCAGCTTCCCTCCAATCCATAAGAATTGTTCCAAAGTCTGGTGCTCATCTTTCAAGATTTCACAATGTCTCCATTCTCACCAGCCACTTCCTTAAGTACTCTGGAATGTTGATTATCAGGTGCTGGGGATTTATTAGTCTTTAATCCAATCAATTTCCCCAACATCATTTCCCTATTGATTTCCTTCAGTTCCTCTCTCTTACTTTGTTCCCCAACATCATTGGGACGTTATTTATGTCCAAATGCAGCTTGGATAAAGCACAAGTATAAACTGGTACTTTAATTTACAAGTTAATTTATATCGACAAATAAAAAGTTTCAGTTCTCCTCATGTACATTAATACATTATAATTTATTTTATTCTCAAAAATACAACTTCCGCTGTCCCCTATTGCACGTGGTACTTGCCACTTTAACTTGTTTGGGGTGAAATGGTCATCTGCTTTTTTTTTTTTGCAACTATTTCTCCAAATTCCATCAGTTTCATTTGAAATTTGCTTGAAACCTCCCTTGATGAGTTTATTCTGAACTTTACTTGCAATTGAGCTAAGACCTGCAGAAACCCACCGTCTAGTAAAGTCAAGCATTGCTATCTTAAGAGCTATTAGACTAAGCTTTTCATTCAGGTTTGTTTATCAATAAACACTGTAGCTGTGAAGCTACTAAGCCAACACAGGAATATGAGTAGACCTCTTGAGCTTGTTCCACCATTCAGTGAGGTCATGGCTGATCTTTGGTCTATACCTGCCTTTGCCCCAGATCCTTTAACACCTTTGCTTAACAAAATTTTACCTCAGATTTAAAATTAACAACTGATCTAGCATCAACTGCCACTTGTGGAAGAGAACCTCTACCAACCTTTGTGTGTAGAAGTGCTTCCTGACATCTCTCTTGAACAGTCTGGCCCTAATTTTTAGACTATGCCCCCTAATTCTAGAATCTTCAATGAACAAAAATAGTTTATCTACCCTATCTTTTCCTGTTAAGATTTTAAAGACTTCAATCAGGTCATCCCCCCTCTTTCTAAATTCTAGAGAAAACAGGCCTAATTTGTATAATCTCTCCTCATAACTTAAGGGTTAAGTCCAAATATCATTCTTGTAAACCTACACCATACTCCCTTCAACATCAATATATCCTTCCTAAGATGTGCTCAAATCTGCTCACAGTACTAATGTCTTTTCACCATTTTACTCCTGAAGGTTTTAGATGCATTAACTTCTTCATTTTAATATGTCCTGTTTTCTTCCTTTTGTTGCATTTGATTTGTCTCTTTATTTTTAGCCTTCCTTATAGAAAGTTAACTGATTAGTAAATTTTACTGTTTCAGTACAAATGTAAATTGGCTGAAAAAGATTTGTGTAATGAACACATTTTTCAAAAAGTTATCCTAATTCATTTGCCTTGTCAGCAAGATCTACTTGCTTAGTATGCCACTTTGCAAACAGATTTACTTCTTTCAATTAATATAGATTTGTCACACATCCATTCTTGCTGCTTTAAGTGCATGCCATTTATTCTTGCAATAAAAAAATAATGTTGCCTTTTAGGTGAATTAACTTAAACGTGAATTCGCTTAAAGGTGAATTTCCTTGCCTTTTTTGCCATGCAGCCAGTAGTGAATCTTCCAGTAATGTGTCTATCGCAGGGCCATCGTCACCAACCGAAAACACGCACTTAATCGGCTTAAGTGACAACTCCGTAAAAGCAAAAGATGATCAAAGCTATTGAATGGAAAATTGCCTCAATGTAAGCTGGTTCACAACTTGTACTACATGGAAGTAAATGAACATATAATATGAGCCTTTAAAAAAGTGTAATCTTAGTGTCCAAATACTTAAGTAAATCAGAAAACAAATACTGCCCCTTAATCATTTGTTTGTGCCAAGACAAGTCATATGAAAAGTTAATGTTAAGAATTGATGGAAGATTTATCACACATTTGTCATTTTTTGAACTAGTGAAGTTTAGCGCACGTGACTGAGGTTAATGCACTACTACATTTGTTTTATTTTATTCACCAATGTAGCATTTTCAAAAGAGCTAAAAATGCAATGGAAATTTTCTTGTCTAGTGAAATTCCACTTATAAAAGCTAAACTTAGATATGTAGTCTCAATTTGGATTTTCTTTATGTGCTCAGCTTTATTACAATGTGACTGTTTAACCAAAATGTGACATTACATATTTCATAAAGTTGCATATTTTTACTAAAATCCCATCGTGATAAAAAGTATGTTACAAACTCTTTGCTCCCTTAATGGGTAGTTTTTTTCCCTACAATATCTCAACTCCATCGTAAAATGTAAGAAAATTCATGCAAAATGCCATGAAAACTCAATTCTTGTTCTTTGTTCCATCTATTTATATATAAGTTTGTTTTTCCATTCACAATGTTTTCACATTTCACTTCTGAAAAATTTCGTGCCCGAGATAAAATTGAAAAAAGTGAATGAACTATTGCAATCCATACAAGAACGTTACTGGTTTGCATAATTCTAAGGGTACATTAAATATAGTTCATAGATTCCTTTTATACCCTTTTTAAATAATATTGTTTGCTTCACTCTTTGATTATGCTAGTCACAAACAAGGTTTTATATGCATGTGTACATTCAGACTCCAATTCACAATGTTACTGTGTTTTCAACCTGAAATCAACTAATAAGATTTTTGTCTCTGAACATATATACGTGCAATTTTGATAAATTTACTTCTGCTCTTTTCGAAGAGAGAGAGTTTAACAACAGCAGTTTTGAGCTATGGTACTTGATGGACACTTTTGTAAAGGACAATTAAACTGACACAAAAGTATTTTTACTCTGAAGAATGTGAATACAGCCTTATTTTCTGTCCCTTAGTTGAACATTGCTTAACATGCAAATATAATGCTTTACAGTTTTAATAAGAGTTTTAGAATTTGTCATGTCACAGATTTAGCTGCAAACTGTCTTGAAGATTTACATTATTTACAAAATGTAAATCTAGTCTATATGTTTTTATATGAAATGGATTACAGATATGTTTCGTAAAAGGGTTTATGCATGTGTATATATTGCTCAATACTTTAATCTTCATGTACTGTGTGTTGAAGAACTCAAAACTTTCCCCAAAGATTGATTTTGTGTTCTGTTGTGTTCACATGAAATTGCACTGTGCAGGAAGTCATGCTTTGTTGGAACTGGAGAGGAGTAGAACTTCTCCCAGGACTCCTGCGGTTGTGAAGAGTGCTATTTAAATACAACTCTTATTTTCAAAGATGAGGGTAAGATATTACCGTTTGGAAGAAAAAAATAATGGAGGTATCAAATTAGCTAGGAGAATAATATCAGAGACACTTAGGAATGACGGACTCATCTGGAACCATACCCAATCTGGAGCAGCAAATCTAATGAGGTGCTGTACCCTTGTCAAATTTGAAGTGAAAACTCAAAGAAAGTCTTATGGAATATCTGTGGCTTTATATGCTTATATGCATTCTGTGGAGCATTGAGCAATGTAATGTTCATTTATATCCATTTAAAACGTGCGAATATTTGAGCTCTTACCCAAGTATGTTTTTCTCCAACTTTAAAGTTCTAACTACAGTTTCAAACGGTAATAATTTGAAATGTTTTGAGCCACGTATCTTTTGTTCTTGTAAATTGGTCATTGCGTCATACATGTACCAAGTTGCCAAATAAAGTAGCCTATACTGAACTCATCTTTAAAGTACAACTGTGTTTAAATAGAACATTATTTTACTGTTAAAAGGGTATTTGTAAATTTCATAAAAGTGTAGACCTTAGAAGCAGGAGTAGACTATTCAGTTCCTTGAGTCTGTTCTATTTGATAAGATCATGGTTGATCTGGTTATGATCTCCACTCCATTATGTCTGCCCCCCATAACACTCAGCTGCCTTGTCTATCAAAAATCTAACTCAGCTTTAATAAATTCAATCATCCAGCCTCCCCTATGAGAATATTTCTTTTTCTAATCTCAGTCTTAAAACAGAAGCCTCTTATTCTTAAAATGTTTGCTAACTCCTCACCCCAAACCCCAATAAGAGGAATTATACTCCCGTATCCACCTGATCAAGTCCTCTCAGGATCTTAAGACATTTCAATAAGATCACCTCTAATTTTTCTAATCTCCAATGGATGTAGACCCAAGCTGTTTATATCATAGGTACAGCTTCAATTAAAATCTGAAATTAGAAAGCTATTCTAATGGCAACTGTGTAACCATTGTTGAAAATATTAAATAGCTATCTAATTCATTAATCTCCTTTATGGAAGGAAATCTGCTTGCTTTCCCTGGTCTAGCCTATATATGACTCCAGACCCAGAGCAATGTAATTGATTCTTAAGTGCCCTCTGCAATCACCTATCAAATCATTCATTTTAAAGGTAATTGAGCATGGGCAACAAATGCTGGTATCGCAGACATTGCTGACCTCCGATGAATGAATTTTAAAAATCTCTTCGTTCCAGAGATAAATCAATCAAACCTTCTCTGAACTATGTCTAAGAGAGTTGTCTTTTTCAAATCAAGACAAACAAAACTGTACGCAGTACTCTAGATGTGATCTCGCCAACATCCTGTACAGCCGCAGTAAGTCTTCCCTACATTTATATTCCAATCACGTTGCCTGCCTAATCACTATCATATATGAAACATTTTTTATGATTTATGTACCAGAGTAGTTAAATCGCTACCACCAATTTGTGATCTCTTTTCATTTTTTTTTAAAACAAAGGAATTTCCTGTCAAAGTTTCCTAGTTCACTTTGTCCTGCTCTGTCATCATACCTTTGTAATGATCTTTATTTACATTCCCAACACTGACTCACTCTTCTGTCCTTCAATCTGAATGCAAAATTTAATGGTATTATCTGTATATAATGCTCTGGTTGGCTCTAGAATATGCTGCACAAAGAAAGTGTCCTGAAAATCAATATGTACTCATCTGATGACCAGTGCTGTCATAAGGAGTGACAACATGCTGTGAAAAGTAGCAGGTATATCTGAAAATGAAGTACCAAGCTGGTGAAGCTATAACTCGAGATCTCATACTAAACAGTGAAAGCAGCATGTTCTCAACGGAGGCGAACAATTCTACAATAAACTGGTCAACACTCCACAATTTTGTTACAATCAATCATGAATGGCAGTAGACAATTAAGTGACTCTTGCTAGGAGAGGGATACCACGTGAGCATGTACATTCTTGACAATGCAGAGTGCAAAAGATAATGTTGGAGTATGTACAACCATTTCCAGCCTTAAGTGCTGGATAGGTAAATCTGAGGCTCGCACGCTACAACAAGTTGCAACCTCTGGCCAATTCAATTAAATTTATGTAATATCAAGAAATGACAAAGTTCATTGAACGTAGCAAAATTTGTGGATCCAATAACATCAGCTATACTGCTGGAGAACTGTTGTCTAGAAGTAGCCAAGCTATTTCAATGCAACTACTGGTTGCTTTGCTTTGATCCGTTCAGTATATTCTCAAACGGCTGAAACATTGTGGAAGACATTGACAACAGCACCTGCAGCAGTCAACAATCAACAATCACCTATGTACCAACACTGAGAATTGCACCATGACTATTCTGCACTATATGAGTCAATTCCATTGTCTAAGTTGTCAGGTTAGATGTCACTGTTTTAAATATCCTGGAAAAGCCTGGTTCAGATCCAGACTTCAGTATACCTTATTTAAGGTACTGATTTGAAGAATGCAAACTGCCCTTAAAATTAAGGTAGCATTCAGCTTAGTGTAGCACTAAAGGAATCTAAATAAGATTGGAATCATTGGGAATAAGGATAATATTACTAATGGGGCTTCAGATCTTCCAATTTACTGTTCTTACCAAAGACCTAATCACCTATCAAAGAAGACCAAAAAACTGCAGATGCTGGAAATCAGAAACAAAAACAGAAATTGCTGGAAAAACTCAGCAGGTCTAGCAACATGTGTGGAGAGACAGCAGAATTAACATTTCAGGTCCGGTCCTGGTAGAGAAA